TGGTTTGGTTTGGTTTGGTTTGGTTTGGTTTGGTTTGGTTTGGTTTGGTTTTGGTTCTTTGAGACAGGGTCTAATACTGTAGCCCAGGCTGACCCAGATCTCACTATATACCCCAAATTAGCTTCACACTCACAGTAATCATCCTGCCTCAGACTTCTGATTGTTGAAATTATAGACATGAGCCACAATTCTTCGCAGTATTTTTTAAAATTACTTAGCTGCCAAGTATGATGGCACACACCTATAATCCCAGTACTCAGGAGGCAGAAGCAGGAGGTTACTTGAAAGCTAAGGCCAGTCTAATCTACATAGGCCACACAGAGATATATAGCATGAGCCTGTCGCAAGTAAATAAATAATATAAAATTTAAAACTAAAATAAGAAAGAGTGGGTGGCACTCCTTTTCAATGTGATGTGTGACAAAGGTAACCACAGGCTACCTGGGTAGAGCCTGGTTTACTATTCTTTATTGATCGAATTGGCATTAAATATCCCAGACTGAGTAAAGTTAGCACGTGCTAACTGATAGAGTGACCCCTTCTAATCTATAGCCGACACAGAAACAACTTCTGTGCGGTGATCAGACAGCCCAAAGGATTAGGATTCACGCTCCTATAAGACAGTAACTAGTTTGATGGCTAACATGGCTAACTTGTCCTTCCCTTTGCTCATTAAAGTGCCTGACTGCATGTCCCCCTGGCCTCCACACTCACTCTGGAACATCTCACAGGCTATACTCACTCATACACTGTGTGCTTGGTACACGATTATATTTGTCTAGAGTCATAATTTTACATTTTTTTGAAATATGGAAAGGTAGGTCCAAACAAATAGTTGAGAGTAATGTGAACTGGGTATGGTCCTGCACACTTTAATGCCAGCTCTAGAGGCAGGTGGATCTCTGTGAGTTCAAGGTCAACATGGTCTACAGAGCCACACAGTGAGACTCTGTCTTTCAAAAAAAATTTAAAGTGTCATGTGGTGTCAACAAGATGGTTCATTAGGTAAAGGCACTTGCCACCAAGCCTAATGATCAAGGCACTTGTCACCGAGCCTGGTGACCTGAGTGTGAGTTCTAGGTCTCACAGGGTTGAAGGAGAGAGTCAACTCCTGCAAGTTGCCCTTTGGTTTCTACATGCACACCCACACACATACATGCTTACACACATACACACCCACACACATACA